GCTATACATAAGCTTAACATAAACAAATTATTTATTGCAGTATCAATATTGTTGTAAATAGATAATAATAATATTGAGCCATTCATATGGGTAAATATTATTTTTGATGAACTATTTATTTTATCTCAACATAGCTACATATTATCTAAATTAAATTTTAATCTTGTTCTTTTAGTCACATAAACATACATCTAAGAATTCTAACTATTCATAAAGGTTGAAATTATTGACTTAATTGTAGCATTTATCTTTATAAATGTATCTATCTTTTGCTAGAAATTTTGAAGCTAATCAAGAATCGTTAGCTTTAATAATGATTCCATTCAATTTTTATTAAAATTTTTCTCGCAAAATTACATGATATTCTTAAGAAAATAAATGCCTTAGGTATTTAGAAGGTATTATTAGTATTATAACTTTTTTGGTTCATTCTGTTGATAAATTGAAGGAACCAGTTACAGGTAGTTGTCCTATTATTATGCTTCTCAATAAATTAGGTTTCAGCTCTTTACTAATATTACAATTAATTCAAATCAATGTTAAAGTGTCTTTTATATGTTAAATTTCTCTCTTTATTTGATTTCTTCAACAATGATCAAAAAGGAAGAGAAGATTCTTTAATGCTCTATTCATAAGCAGCAAATCTTAATGGTATCTAATAATTCAATGTTAAAAAAGAAGTAAAGACTATTATCGAATCAATGCATAGAAAATGCGGAATCAAAGAAACTTAAAGGAATTTATTGAAGAAAATCAAAAGTTAAGAAAATATATTTTTGAGAATGTTGTAACCATTAATAGCAAATCTCTTGATAATCAAACTTCTACATTAATTAAGTCTAGAGTTGCTCAAAATATAGAAAAATTAATTGGTTATATAGATGAATAGATTTAAGAAATGTTGAGATGTAGATAATAAAATGCCTGGTATATCTTTTTTGATGAGTTAGAAATTTAATTACTAAAACAAAAATTGATTGGTTCAATTAGGAATTTATAATAGATCAATTATATAAGCTAATTAATCAAAAATGTTTGAAGATCAATAAAAATTTACATTTTAAATCATTTTAAGAATCCAAGAAGTGGGAAGAATTATTGAAAAGTTTATAAAATCAAGGAAACTAAAAATACGATGCTAGGATACAATAGGAAATGAATTAAATTGCCATTTAATAGGAATAACTAGAATAACACTAATAATGATAGATAAAAAATTGAGCTTAAATTAATTGATGATTCAAAATAATCGAGTGGGTAGTGTTTTGCAATAGTGTTTGATAAAACAGTATTAATTATGAAATTTTTGAGAGTCCTAAATTTTGAACTTTGAAAAAGGAAAATTAGAATTAGTTAAAACTTACTCCTAACATCAAGATGCTATTTGACGTCTAGTGTATAGCAAATTCAGAAGTTCATTTATTTTTGGTTCTATAGATTACGCTCTTATCTATTGGTAATAAATTAATCAACAAGAGCAGTAAAATTCATAGCCATTTTAAAATCATATTGAAGGAGTTATTTTAATGCTAAATAAGGAAGAGGATTAGGTTATTTCATGAATTTTTGATATTTACATAAATGTTTGGAAAGTAGATTTTATGAAGAGTCAGCTGACTTTTCTTTATTCCTTTAGTAAACATGAAAACAGTGTAGAGTCATTATAGTTAATTCTCTGAAACTGAATTGGTGTCCTGTGGATTTGATGAATTCAGAATATGGGATAAATATATATAATCAGTTGCTAATAAAGGGTATAAAATACATTTAATAAATGATCAAAAATTGTCTTTGGGTAACTATGGATGTAGATATTGATGAAGTTTTAGTATTTGAATTATAGAGTGGAGTTTTAAATAAAATACTAATAAAACTATCAAATTAACTAAAAATAATAAAAGTGAGGATGATATGAATTTTCAAATCTTACATAATTAAGAAAAAAATGTATTATTGATAAGATATAAATATCATATCTATTTGTTTAGATAATTAGTCGATGGTATACTTAAGGTTGATAAATTATTAAATTGTTAGATTAAATAGATTTTTCGAAATATAACTCACAATGGAGAGTATTTAGTATTTTGGATCTGAGAAAAGAAAAGTAAAGTATTAAACTTCGCATTAGCTTTTCGTCAAGAGAGAAAGGAAAGTCAACGCTTAATTGAGAGTAAAATAAAGTTATCTACGAAATGATAACTTGGAATGCACTTTAATAACTTTGGATAAAAGTAAAAACTATTACAAATATTTCTCGAAATAGATGAGTTCTTTATTGAGACAATATTTAATTAAATATCTATGCTAATAGTATCTGACCAATTTTAATATAGATAAGATTATGTATAAAAATACTCTTACACTTTCATAAGTGGTATTTCACGATGTTATTTATGGTTGGATAGCATGTTCTGAATGCTTTGGAATAATAACAATCGTTTGATAAATGACAATTTAGCAATTTTCAAATTTGAATTATTATCTACACAGTTTCCAATTTATACGATAGTACGGAGAGTGATTGAACAGATAAAGTTGAAGGTATTGAAATTAAAGAATAGTTGAATAGTATATATAAGCAGGTAATAAGAAGGTACAAGTCTTTATTTATACAAGATTCTATTCTTAATAGTTTAATCTTTTTTAAAAAGCATAATTAATTTCAAACTTGTGTAAATGGCTTATTTTTAGTATTAAATTTACTTCCTCCATAAGGCTAAAAATATATATATAGATGGTATAATCCCAGTATTTATTTGCAAATTCCAGAGTAAAATATACAGTTAGTCTTTAATCTTTGATATGTTATTATAGTTACGACTAAATTCAATATCCATTTACCACGTTTTATTATTTGATATTCACAATTCTACTCAACTTGAGAATATAGGTAAAATAATTAAATACTTTCTACTCTTTATTTAATAGTAGTAAATAATAAATTCCAATTTCGCTGTGTTGCTTACTTACTTTTAAATTATTTATTTTTAACATTAATTTAAAATGATGTTGATTTTAACATAAATCAAATGTTCAAAATAATAAAATAGGATTATCCTATTTAAATAGGAGATGCTATTCATTTTCTCAATCATTTGAATAGATTTCAGGGATTCGAAAATACTTCCAAAACTTATAGCTACACTAAAGCTTAGTAATACTTGAATAAGAAACCTGGATCCTTACTTTAGACAACTTGCAATGGAGGGTTGCTTCTCTACAATAATCACAAATTAATAGTCAGTTCGATCAAGTCCTATAATTAAATACAAAATTTTGATGAAATTTAATCAATAAAATAGAGAATCTACTTAGTGCTCAATATTATTTTGTAAATAAAATAAAGAGTTTTTAACATTGCAATTAACACGCGTTGAAATAAACTCGCAACTAGAGGATAGCATTCTATAATATAGGCAGAGTAATATGAATCGCTCATTATATCCAAAGATTTTTATTGGTAATGTTTCATCTTATATAGTATTGACACTTTAAAAAGAATTCTTATGATTCTCATAAAAGTTCATAGATTTCATCAAATTCTATTAATAAATATTGTCTGTAAGTATAAGTAAACATTAACATTACCAAATTACTATTAAATTAAAAAAATGAAGTTTTCCCTTTATATTTTAAAGTTTAGATTAATTTTTGAATTGTCAAATATTAAAGACATTTTTTCAGGTTAATTTTTGACCGATATGATATGTAAGTTTAACCTTAATTGAAGAATATTTTTATTTTTAGGCTAATTCTGTTGTTGTAATTAATTATGAAAAACTGGTTGGATTGTTTACAAATTTAACATATTTCCTAATTTCTATCAATCTTATTGTTTAGCTAATACATAACTTCCATTTTTAATTTCTAAGTATAAATAATATTACTAATATTATAAATAAAAAGTATTAATTCTACGAATTTTAAATTTAGTTAGAAATATCTATGTGGATTAAATAAAAATCTTGGTAGGTTCAATGACGTTGGTTAAGATATTGTTATAGTTAATTTTGATATGAAATAATTATTATCAAGTGTTTAGCTATTTTGGTGCAGGCTCATATATGTCGCATTCATTTAAAGAATGAATTTCTTATATTTAATAGCAAGAATTAAAAAATCTTTTTGAAATTACTTTTGACATAATGGAAGGAACTTATTCGGGATTGAAATTGAGAGTAGCTTAATCATTGTAAAGAATGATTTTCTATTCAATTTCATGTTAATTTGTATTTTCAATCTAAAAACCCTCTATCTTATTCGACCTCGATAATTTTTCAATATTAATTATTAATCTTTGTTAACAAAGATTAATAATAGACTTTTATTTCTTATAATTTTGTAAAATGTTTACTATCTCTAATTAACCTTGTTTTTAGCAAGAACAAAAAATTTTTTTTCTTCATTACCTACACCCAAAGATTATTAACCAAATTTCCAAATTAGATTTGCCTTAATCTATTATTCTAATTTCATTTTGTGAGTTATTGATTTGATTACTGATTATTCGTTATGTTTATTTGAAGTGGTTCTGAGAATTGAAAAGATTATTCACAATTTCTAATTTCATAAAGTTTTCAATAATTTGCTTTAAAATAATAGCTACAATCATAATTAAAATTTAAAATATTCCNTAAATACAAAATTTTGATGAAATTTAATCAATAAAATAGAGAATCTACTTAGTGCTCAATATTATTTTGTAAATAAAATAAAGAGTTTTTAACATTGCAATTAACACGCGTTGAAATAAACTCGCAACTAGAGGATAGCATTCTATAATATAGGCAGAGTAATATGAATCGCTCATTATATCCAAAGATTTTTATTGGTAATGTTTCATCTTATATAGTATTGACACTTTAAAAAGAATTCTTATGATTCTCATAAAAGTTCATAGATTTCATCAAATTCTATTAATAAATATTGTCTGTAAGTATAAGTAAACATTAACATTACCAAATTACTATTAAATTAAAAAAATGAAGTTTTCCCTTTATATTTTAAAGTTTAGATTAATTTTTGAATTGTCAAATATTAAAGACATTTTTTCAGGTTAATTTTTGACCGATATGATATGTAAGTTTAACCTTAATTGAAGAATATTTTTATTTTTAGGCTAATTCTGTTGTTGTAATTAATTATGAAAAACTGGTTGGATTGTTTACAAATTTAACATATTTCCTAATTTCTATCAATCTTATTGTTTAGCTAATACATAACTTCCATTTTTAATTTCTAAGTATAAATAATATTACTAATATTATAAATAAAAAGTATTAATTCTACGAATTTTAAATTTAGTTAGAAATATCTATGTGGATTAAATAAAAATCTTGGTAGGTTCAATGACGTTGGTTAAGATATTGTTATAGTTAATTTTGATATGAAATAATTATTATCAAGTGTTTAGCTATTTTGGTGCAGGCTCATATATGTCGCATTCATTTAAAGAATGAATTTCTTATATTTAATAGCAAGAATTAAAAAATCTTTTTGAAATTACTTTTGACATAATGGAAGGAACTTATTCGGGATTGAAATTGAGAGTAGCTTAATCATTGTAAAGAATGATTTTCTATTCAATTTCATGTTAATTTGTATTTTCAATCTAAAAACCCTCTATCTTATTCGACCTCGATAATTTTTCAATATTAATTATTAATCTTTGTTAACAAAGATTAATAATAGACTTTTATTTCTTATAATTTTGTAAAATGTTTACTATCTCTAATTAACCTTGTTTTTAGCAAGAACAAAAAATTTTTTTTCTTCATTACCTACACCCAAAGATTATTAACCAAATTTCCAAATTAGATTTGCCTTAATCTATTATTCTAATTTCATTTTGTGAGTTATTGATTTGATTACTGATTATTCGTTATGTTTATTTGAAGTGGTTCTGAGAATTGAAAAGATTATTCACAATTTCTAATTTCATAAAGTTTTCAATAATTTGCTTTAAAATAATAGCTACAATCATAATTAAAATTTAAAATATTCCTCCTAGTTTTCCTAAAATTGTTTGCCATTTAACATAAGTTCTAATATTATTTGTTTATTTATAATCTAGCATAATATCCTGAATAACCAAATATTGATTATCATAAAATTCAGATATCTCTCTCCATTCACTTTATTAAATGTTTGATTAATCCAAAATTTATTCCCAAATTAATCCTTCATCAGTAAAAGTTTACATGAGTTTATATCTTTAAGAAATAGCCTTAGAACTGCTTAAAGAAAACCTTGTAAATTCATTTGTTATGATTTCTTGAAATGGTTATCTTGGTCCAATTCTAAGATATTTTCTATTTCCTTTTCTGATGCAAAAACTCAAGACAAACTTGTATTATGACAAGCAGAAAACTAAATAAATATGTATCTGAATGAATGGGATGTAACTTAGTTATTATTTCTAAGAAGTTAATAATTTTTTTTACTAACGGATTCTCTTATAGATATTTCCAGTTTATGCATTGGATTCCTCCTATTTTTATAATTGAAAAGTATTCCTGTTATATATAAGTTGTAAAATGTGACATATTACATGGTTTGATTGGTAATTATGTGCACCTTATAATTGCAGTTATTTTTGCTTCGAATTGACAGAGATTTTTCCTGAATCTTTATTTATCTCCCTTAATCTCTCACATTAACTGATATTAAGATTGAAATATCGATCAATTCCTATTATGGGCAATGTATGTGAAGTTATTATTCTAAAGTAGAAATGGCTAATTAAAATGTATTTTTCTACTTTGGCATCAGAAATCAATAATTCTGTTTAACAAATCGTTGTTTGGATTGAGAAATCAAAGTGACTACTTCTGAGAGAAAAAAATAAAATCTTGAGGCACAAATCATTAATGAGGCTAGAAGAAAAAGTGTAGAAGGTTATTTTTTTCATTTTAGTATTGTAAAATTAGGTTATTATCCGAAAATGTCTAAATGAAATAGAAATTAATTCTTGAGTTTCTAAACTACACTGGAATTGCGAGCAGATTGGCTTAACATTTAAAATATTTTAATTAATATCATCCCTTATAAAAAAGATATTGTTTTTATTAGCACTCAGAAATACATGATGATTATATAATTCTAAATTCAATATATCTATCTTAAATAAATCGTTAATTAATAAATATATATAACTAAAAAACGCAAATTTTCTTCTTCATAAGATCTTATTTTAGATGTCTGGAGTGTGAATTATTTAAGACTGAATATTTGATAATTATACATGAATGGAATAAATATATTAAGTTTAACAAATTTAATAATCAATTTAATCTTAACAGATAGAAAACTTTAAAATTGCGATAATGTGTCTTCTCTTTTAGACTAATGAGTTTTCTTTTGTATTATCTAATGATAGTAGAGAATTAGAAAATTCCAATCACAAATAATGAGCTATCATTTTTTAAATGTATTACTAAGCTGACAAGCAAATTTATTCTCAAAATTGTATTATAAGATTTTATAGACATAATAAAATTTTACATTTAACTCTCATGCAATTAGTTTTTTAAATCATGTAATTCTCTGACTTCCAGCTCCTTTTATTTTATGATTACCATATGCAAAATTCTGTTACAAAATGGCAATCGTTCAACAATTCAGCTAAGATACTACTTAATGTAGTAATCCAATTGTTGAAACCTCCCAATAATTGTTGATTTCAACTAAATGTACTTCGTGTACATCTTGGTTACTACTTATTTTTAGACTTGCGCCAAATATACTACTCCATATATTGAAAATATGCTATAATAAATGATATTTAAAGACTGATCCAGTTAATTGCGCGCATCATTGCCCACTACTCTGTTGAAGCTAGTGTAGCAGTTCGAGCTGTTATTGTTTGTCCATATAAAATGCGATTAAATTATTCAATAAGACTTGCACTATTTATTCAATTTATTATGCCAATTACTGTTGAGCCTCTAAATAGTATATTTCTTGATTCAAATTTCTGATGATTCATTTAGAGTACTGCTAGGTCAGTCCTTCAAATATCCATACCCAATCTGATAAAAATGTTCTTACATTTGATATAATCATTAGTCCTCATTTTTCAAATTAGCCGAATAATTTTATTTTCTAATTTTAGAGTGATTGCCATATTTTTCTAGTGAAATAACTAAATAGTATGGCATTTTTAAGACTGTTTCTAATTTTATGACCCATATTTGTTCAAAATAAAAAGAAAACTATTAAAAGGATGCCATAACTTCATCCAAAGACAGTGACTGGACTTACTTTTAATAAGAATTTACTCTTGATACTAGTTAATCAGCATAAATTAATAGAGATCAACTAGCATTTCCCTTTGAAAGATTTTTGGAATATTTAGCCAGCTTTACTTCCAAGTCATCTAATAATGTTCTTTCATTCATTTTATGAATATCTCTACTTAAAGTTCAAATTATTTTATCTTTTTCTAATGAAGCATCAAAGTAATTATTGGAATTTATATAACCTTTTTCCTTAAATCTAAAGTAAACGATTAGATGCACTCAGGATCGTAAGTTTAGTTCTTACTAAGGACTTTCTATTACCTCTAGACAGGAAGAATAAAAAAATTAAAATTTTTGGATTTCCCTATAACTTCCCTGTTCAATAATTGATTAAAGTTATTAGTGAAATTAGACTAAAGATGAATTAGTTGCAATACAATAATGGTTTCACTAAATAGAGAATATTCGAAAATTTAAATGTAACAATTATGCCAATAAATAATATTTTAGAAATAATGTGAGTAATAGACTAATTGTATTTAATTGTTACAATAAAAATTTGGAACAATCATCAAAATAAAAGAAAGAACAGTGGTTATCATGGACCCGAGCAATTCACCATACACGGGTACCAAATCGTTACAATAATAAAAGCAATATTCGTAATACAGTGATATCCCCTTTCAATTCCATTTTGCTCAAATACCCTTCCTAAAGAATTCCTTAAAAATCTATCTTTTAAATACTCTAAATAATAATAGTATTTTTCTTGATTTTTATCATATAGTTTAAATATAATGAGTAATTGACCAATATGGATTTTAGCCTATTAATTTGAAAGAATTAAGCAAGCAAATTAATTATCAGTATAAAATTTGATTTTTTATATTTAATTCCCTTTTAGAGCAGCGAATATATATTAGTAATCTAAATCAATAATCTTATAATTAAGTTCTCATATGAAGAAGATTGGATGACTTTGTAATATTAAATGAATATAGGATCTTATGCATGCTCAATTTTATTAACATTTCTAAAGATAAATTATAAAGAGATCATATTTTTTAAATATTGATGGTATTCTGTTATACTCATATAGATAAACATCATATATCCTAATTATTAATATTGAATTTTCAAATGTTTTATTTAAAACAATGTTCATTATTTTTCCTGTGTTTAGATTTATTATGACTCCTTCTAATTATCTTGGTTTATAAGAAATAAGTCTTGCTTGTCATGTATTTTTACTGAACTTTTTATTATGTAATTAAATAGAGATCTTAGGTGCGACTTGTAAATTTTTATCAACAATAATGAAGGTCTTCCGCTTATAGATGTGTAAGGATAGTATCAGGAAAAGTATCAATATTTTTATGAAAATTTTGGCTTTTCTATAAAAATTTGAAAACAGTATATTCAATTTTATAGACACTGAGAGATTAATGTAAGATTTGTTCTCAGGATCTTCTTAGTATACAAAAGTGAATTATTAAATACATTTATTATATAAATATATGGATCCTACTATTTAAACTCATAAACGGTTTATAAATAGTTGACAAGAGATAGATCAATTACCAAAACGCTTTAAAATTTTATTGATGGGATTGCAAATTATATCTAGATAGTGGATATCACAAAATTATTAGAACTATTGCTAACACTTTGAATTGTTATTCTATATTAATTTTAATATTACTATATATCTTTATTATGCCCATCTGGATGATTATTTTAATCTTATAAAAACTTTTTGTTTAACTTTTTTAAAATCTTAGTTAAATCACAAAAAGAAAATTTTAAGAATATATATACATAACCTACAATTAAGTTAAAAATTATAACATTTGAGGTGAAGGATGAATGAATTTGTTAATCAATTGAGTATTCTTAATTTACTATCAATTTGGAAAGTAAGTATACTAATTGTTTGCTAAATTAATTGGTATGTTACAAGGCAAGTTATAAGTCGCTATAGATATATATATATCTAGATTGATTTAAGCGAATACGGACAAAATAAATGAACAAAAAAATTTAATTATTATTGAGCATGAATGACTAAATTATTGTTCTTTAAAAAATATAAAGCACTAGTTTTAATTAATTGTTCAATTCTTAAACTATTCTTAATATGCATTCACTACTGATAAGATCAGTACAATCATAATATTAACAAGCAAATAAATGAAGATCACATTTGGCATTAATAACTAAAAATCATACTTTAATTATATTAATATTTTAAGCATTTCCCTACCTTTAAAGTTTAAATAAAGTTAGAATTAGAATATATTATTAATCATTCTAGTCTTAAGAGGAAACAATTAAATAATTAAACTTCATGAAAGAAAATTTAAATGTAGTTTATATTCAGAATCAAAATTAGTATTTAGATTTGAAAAAATATCATAAATAACCTAATTATAATTATAATTGATAAAGATATTAATCACTATCTTAATCCTTTTTAGTTTAATAATTCTAACAATGTTGAAAATAATTATTTACTTTATAATAAAAATGATAAATAAATACTTCATAAATATTATATCTCATATGAGGAATATTTTTAAAATTTATAATCCCAAAATACTAAATATTAGCCATTATTGGTCATAGTTCCATAAGTCTCTTTAATTTAAGAATTTAAAGATGCAACAATATTAAATGTGTCATCATTTAATTGTCTAATCAAATAGATATGATGTTTGTGTCTTACCAATATCACATTTCTTTCTTATGTATAATTGGAAATAAAAAAAAATCTTCACATTCATTATTCTTAATTAAAGAAATAGTTTTATTTGAATTCTATTTAAAAACTCCATTCTATAATTCAAATACCAAAATATCATCCTTTGATTTAGTTACCCAAAGAAATTGTTAATCATTAATGAAATGGATTGTATATCCATATGAAACATTCTATTTATATATAAATTCCCATCTTCCTTATAATCCTTTCTCCCATATTATGAATTCATGAAAACCACATGATCCAAATACAGTTTCAGATTAATTAAAACTTAGTGAAAAGACACAATTGCTATGTTAATCTAAGGAATACAGAAAAGTCAGATCATTCTAAATAAAATCTACTTTCCATACTACTATTTTATGATCATATCCTCCTGAAATGAGTTGATTCTCTTATTTATTTAATAATAAACAATTAACACTACCAGCATGTTACTCAGCACTTCCACTCATTTTTATTAATTTATTACCAACATATAATTTAGTGATAGGAACAACTAGAAATGAAGCTATTTGTTTTTTTGCTATACACTAAACACCTAACAGGCTGGCTATGTTTTTTATAAGAATTAGATAATTTAAATCTTCCTTATTCAAAATCCCATATTTTTAATCTCACAACTACAACTTGAAATCATAATTGATCCATCTTTATTGAATACTATTGTAAAACAAATTCCATTCTATTAATTTGAATCATCAATTAAATTAAATTGAACTTATTTATACATCATCAATTATTATTCTAATTACTTCTATTAATTCTCAACTTAAATAATTTTCTTTTATGTCTAAGATTCTTTTATTTCTTCAGTTTAAGAATCATTCTCTTATATCATGATATTATTTTATTAAATAGTTTCGTCAATTATTTTCTATTAACAAAATGCTTCACTTATTTTTCTGTCTTTTATTTCAATTTCATTTTTTTTAACTTTATTAACCAAAGGTTTCACACCCTCTAAGATTTGTTAAGAGAAGTCAAATACATTGATAGGGAATTAAATAAATTAAGGCAATTCAAGTAGTGATTCATTTTCATAATTCATACCCAAAGGATTTATTAACAAATGAGTCAATTAATTCATCAATTCTAGGAAAGAAGTTAGAAAATAATAGATAATGAAAATTACTTCTAATCTTTATTCTATTTCCACAAAATGTTCTTCAATTTTAGACTTTGCGTATTGGATGATGTTTGATTATGATGAATAGAGAGCTTGCATTTTTTATATGATATTTTAATTAACAATATTTAGTATTAATACTCCCGCTTATAATATAAAAATATTGTTTAAAATTAACTAGGCCCGAATTTGCTTTTCATTCTTTTCATTATCAAAGTGAGGTTCTAATCTTATTTCCTCATATAGGCAAAATTTCTTTTTTAAACAGATAATTATAAAACTTTTTTCTGAATTCTATTTATAACATTAGTTTAAAAATTTTATAGAGGAGAAGTATGAAATATTGCTTTAATGTTCGAAGAATTAAAACTATTATTAATAAAATGAAACTACTCCTTTATTATATTAAGATGCCTCTATTACTTAAAGCTGGAAATTATCATATTTAATAATCAATCACATTAATTATTACTATAATATCTATTTATGCAATTAATTTTATGGCATTCAATAATTTCATCTAATCCATAGACTTTAAAATGATTACAATATAATACTTAGGATTACTAGATTATCATTCAAAGAAAATAGATTTAATGTTTGATTTTTTTGTTATAATACATTTAGGTTTACATTCAAAACCATAAAAAGAAACCGTGCTATCATCACACCAATAATTTTTTGTAAATATTTGTTAGGAAAACCATTAGATTGAAAATAGTTTAGTGAATCAAGATTTTTAAGGTCTTCATTTGATGCTATGCTATCAATAGCAATTATTATACTCAATTTTTAATCATCAAAAATGTATAATGAGATTTTAATCAAATCTATTAAATTATAAATTCTTATAGATTTATTCAAATCACTGTTATTTATTAATTCTTTTTAGAATATTTTTGGCAATTACTGGACTTAATAAATTTATTAATACAAAAAGTAGTTTCCCTTAGATATTTGTGATTATCAACTTTTATCTGCATTGAATTGTCTTTATATATTATATTCTTACAGCAGAGAATGAGCTTCCATTTTATTAAGGTTAATTCATTAACATACATACTCTGTTTCATAAACTAATACATTTATTTCTTCTTATTAACTTTGTCTGTAAAATCTTAGAAAAAGAGAGACTTTATCCTGAAAAAAGCAAAAGTTTATTCTCTTTTCTAATATGGCCTGCCCTGACACTCAATAAAAAATTCATCGCATTTTTATTTGATCTGCGTTAAGAATAGTCTTCCCAATTTTCTTTCCTATTTAATTGAATAATTAAACTATTATCAGCAACAGTTGTTTCAGCTTTACAATAATTTATAATAATGCCAATACTTTACTCAAAAAGTTTTTATCAAGTTTTTCCAAATTTTCCAGCTTAAACTATATTAATTCCTTAAACCATTAAATGAAATAATATTAATCTTTTTCTTTGGAGTAAAGTTTGCATCAATAAGTCATTTGTTTGAGATTGAGTTATCATGATAATAGAATTATCTAAAACTTATAATATGTTCTAACAGTAAGGTGTCTTTTGACAAAAAACTATTTAAAGCTTGATTCATTAACATAATTTAATAATCTAAGCATAAAAATTATTCTATAAGTAAAGTAAAAAGCTAGTTCTTGAAATTCGATCACGGCTTTCAAGAAAAGTAATTTGTATTTCATTAATAAAAAAGCTGATGATCCTAAGGATAAAATTAAGTTCTCGTTAATTCAAAATTATATATAAAATGACTATCCTTAAGATCAAGTGATTTCCAGGTATCCATGACTCAATAATTTGATATCTTTATTCTAGAAGATTGAATAGAATCGTACGTATTTCTCGAAAGCAAAATGCTCCAAAACAAATTTAATTGGATCCAAACTTTAAAAATGAATTAAAAGCTAGTATTAATCAGGCTATCCAAACTGGATTTGTTTCTCTAGATGCTAACTTGATTAAATCAATAATATTTTTATGTAGAACAACCATTAAATTTATTATATTAAGAGAATACCTGCTTTTCAGTTTTACAATTTACTAGCAGAACGAAATCAATATTTATTATTGGTTTAAAACGTAGTTGTAAATTTTCCAATTGTATTAAATATTAAATTTGATTGAGTATTGCTTTATATCAAAATAAAATACTATGAATAATTGCTACCAACATTATTTAGATTTAGATTTCAAATAATCGTCCTATATAATTAATTAGTT